AAAAAAAAAAAAAAAAGAAACTTACATTTTAGTTGTTTAAAGAAGATACTCAAATGAAATACAGTGCAGGCAGGGAGATTATTCCAAGTTGCACTCCAAACACACATAGTAAGATGTATCATTTCATGTACTGATGTAAACAGATCTTTAAAAATACAGATTATGTGAGTTGTGGCAAGGCCATCCAAGCTAGTTTAAGACAAACAGAACCAAATGACCATTTTTGTCAGGTTCTGGGCCACTGAGCCATATCCCCATCCCCTAATGACCATTTTTTAAAGCACATTGTTTGGGGCTGGGGAGGTAGCTCAGTGGCTTAAATGCCTGCCTGGTGAGCACAAGGGTGCTGAGTTTGATCCCCAATACCAGAAAGAAAGAAAGAAAGAAAGAAAGAAAGAAAGAAAGAAAGAAAGAAAGAACATTGATTGAATCTGATCTGAAGAATGTATTTATTCTGCTAGTAAAAGTTATATATTGTATGATTTCTAATACAAGGTAAGGTTAAAACATTAAGTCTAGATCTCATGAAGCATGGCTGAAAGCCAGCTTTGTTGATTGAATATATTTAATTGATACCACTGAGATCCATACTGAGAGTATATGATTCCACTATCCCTAGATTTTTAGGATCCTTGTAGAGTTGAGGTGATAGCTGATATCATGGGTTTTGTGTGAACTTTTATATTTCAGGTAGTTTGTGAGCTCATAGGTATCTTTTCTGGAAGAAAACTATATATGTTGAAGGTGGGAGGTACATTTTTTTTCCTTGTGAGAGCACCTAAAACGAGAGCTTTAAAAATGTTTAGTGCCTCTATGAGATACTGAGAAATGGACAGATCATTAAACTCACAAACAGATTGGTGATAAATCTTCATAGTATTTATTTTCTGTGTGTGAAAAGGGAAGCTAGTGGTCAAGAAAAAGAATGAATGAAAATTAAATTTGTAGTGTTGTGTGAGAGTATCTCTGGAGGCCGCATTATTGGGCATTGCTTAACTTCAGGCACAAATTTTGTTTTACATTCCATTACTGTGTTTTAGAATGGATAAAAATAGTTCTTATCCTGTGCATGTCTATAAAAGGATAGGTCTCATGGCAGAAATCGTGGTGCCAAATAGATAGTTTTTAAAGACCTGGCCTGATGTTGGGGAAATAGTCTTATTTTTAAATGATCAAATTTCATAAAAATACAACTTAGTTTGGTTTTCTTGACAGATGGTCTGTTCTGTAAAAGCTGTTAGTATTTTTATTTCTTTCCAAAGATTATCTTGTGAATTCACTTTGCATCTCATGTAATGATCTAGAAGCATAATGCCTTTATAATCTTTTGCTCCTTAAAGTTTTATATGTACATCTTAGTTTAATAGGTGCATACAGAGCATTAGGTGGACTATGCCTGCAATGTTGCTCTTTTTCTTGAGGATTTTCCAAACTTTGAATGATTCTTGGATCATGGCTTAATTTTAGTGATTTAGAGAGATTTACAAGTCAGGACAATTGAAAGTTTCTGATTTTAAAAGTCAGGAACCTTTTTTTTTTTGGCAGTACCAGGGATTGAACTCAGGACCTTGTGCTTGCCAGGTAGGCGCTTATGCTGCTGAGCTATATCCCTGGCCCCTCAAGAGCCTTTTACAGTATTGTGTCCCCTGATATAGTAGCCCAGCATTCAGCTCCTGTGTTACACAATCTATATTTGAGGTTAGAGAATATGTAAATTAAAACTTTTTAAACTACTGCCTGGTACCTGTGTCATGGAAGAAACATGTAAGAAAACCTCTTATTTTATTTGAATTGAGGAATTTTAGGCCAGGACTTTTTGAAGTAAACTTCTTAAGAACAAAATTTAGGGACCGGCCAAATAGCTCAGCAGATTAAAGCACCTGCAAGCAGGCGCAGGGGTCAGGGGTTCAATTCCCAGGACCTGCCATGCCTGCCCCACCCCAAGGCCCGATGAGAATGCAATTGAGACTGGGTGTGGTGGTGCACACCTGTAATCCCAGCTCTTGGGAGACTGTAAACAGGCAGATTACTATAAGTCCGATATAGTAATGAGACCCTGAACACCCTGTAGATCCTTCCCTAAAATAAAAAAAGAAAAAAAAATTCAAAAGCTAAAATTAAATTATTTCTCAGACTCTCTGTAGCAGGAAGAAGGGAATTAGCCACTGTAGGTATATATCTTCTCAAATTCAAATCCAGCTCACATGAAGAATCTTATTTTCTTCTAGAGCCTGACAGTTTCAGGTGTGACTCATGAGCTTTCATTGACTCCTGCGGTTAGAATCCTGAGTTGCTGAGCCAGCTCCGTGGTTGAGAGGATGGGACTCCATGACTGCTTGAGACCTAGGTTATTAGTTTACCCTTGGAGTTGGAATCAGCTTTAACTCTACCTGAATCACATGTGAAGGAATTGAGACAAAATGTACCATGTGGTATATTGATTTTTTTTTTTTTAAATGTATTTAGTAAAGGTTCTCCAGGGTCTCCCTACACAGAGGCTTATAGTGATGCTCCTGTTCTCAGCCTCCCAAGTGCTGCGATTACAGGTGGGCGCCACCACTCCCAGTCTCAATTGTAGCCTTGGCGGGACCGGCACAACTCGAAGGGGATGGAACCCCGCCAGCTGTGCTCTGCTTACACAGGACTAGTCTGCTGAGCTATCTGGCCGGCCCTAAGGACTGGGTTTTTTGTTTTTTTTTTAAAGCTGAAACCACTTGAGGAGTTGTAACTTCAGAAAGGGCCACGTGGTGTGTTTTTTCCCAACTCCAGCAAGCTGTGACAAATGTTTAGTAAGGAAGCACCTTCACAACACTGGTTGCAAATTAGCCTTGATCACCAGTGATAGAGTTGCAAGGAATGTGAATAAACATGCCCTGAAGTAACTCTTATTTTCTTCCCTCTAGCTCCTGCACTGGCCTCAAAATACGTCTTGATGAAGTCCCTAAAATTTATTATTACCTTATTCCAGATATCCATTTGTCCTTTACCTTTCCTGCACAGATTTATTATTATGTGTCTAAAAATTATCAGAAGATCATGATTTGGTCTTTTTTTTTTTTTTTGACTTCACCTTTTTTGGTGAAGATCTCCATGTATATGGAAAATTAATACCACTTTTACATTTTTCTCTTTTTAATCAGCTCTTGTGTTACTTGTGCTCCTAGAACCCAGCGAGTAAGAGGGTAATGGGGCTCTGTGTGCCTGCACGTGGGGCAGGGTTTTACCAGAGCAGACTCTTAACAGAAAGTAGGGCAATAAAGACTATGGCTAAAACGATCAATGTCCAAAACTCATTCTGTCGGTGACTTTGGATTTTAGCTGATCTACCTTTTTAAAAAAACAATGTAGTAAGTTCATTTTAAAAAATTTATAGTACTACATGTCTGTCGCATATAATGCTTACATTCCTCATGTGGAGTTGGTGCAAGTACATACCAGCTTGTAATTCCTTTTGTTTGTGAGCCCCCAACCGTGGGTCTTGCTCTGTCCTTTTTTTCTGATACGTGTTCCCAGTGTGGAATGGCTTCATTCCCTGTGTGGAGCTGATGCATGTGCCTGACACATCTCATTTCCTGTCCCTCCCCTTCCTCCCCACTCCCCATCTCTTGACCACTTTCCCCTTTGAGAAAGATGTGTTTCAATATTTCCTCTTATCTCACTTTTATTTTGTTCTTTATTTACATTTTAGGTTTCTCAAGAGAATCCATGTAGTATTTAAGCTTGTGTGGCTATGTTATTTTACTTAATGTTATGGTCTCACAGTGCATCCATTTTTTTAACATTTTAAAATTTATTTATTGGATACAGTGAGGGTTTCTACTACAGTTCAGAATCATAGTGATCCTCCTGTCTCAAAATCCCTAGCGCTAGGATTACAGGCATGTGCTACTATGCCCGGTTCCAGGGCCAGCAAGCATGCATTACTAGGGATCAAAGTTGGGTCTCCTTGTGCTTGCTAGGCAGGTGCTTAGACTGCTGAGCTATCTCCCCAGCCCTTATCTTTTTTAACAGATGACTCAAGTCTTCTTACAGCAGAGTAGTACTGCACTGTATGTAATTACCGTTTCTACTACAGCAGCGTGCCAATTAAAGTGTGCAGTTAGCTGATGGTAATAGAAACACAAAAATAATAGTGGATTAGACAAGATGCAAGATTATTTTCTCTGGAGGTAAGCAGTTTTAAGATTGATGCAGTATTTCCAAGATAAAATCAGTGTCACACTAAAAATTACCATAGCATTGGGCACCAGCTCAGGAAAGCAAATAAATGGGTCTCCACTGATCTTCTGTTTCCCTTAACATGAATTACCTGAAAGTCCTGCTCAACAACTTCCACTTTTGCGGAATTTACTCATCAGTCCCTACATTTGTTTCTTTAGTCACCTGGTCACATGTGCCTGTAGGGAAGTGTAGGTAAT